AGGCGGACAAAATTTGCAATAAAAACATCTGCATTTAAAGTAGTCCATACGGCTTAAGTCGCATCGGCGATGAAAGTCAGTCAAACATGCCGATACAATTAGTCCGTAGACACTGTACCGGTATTTACCATCCATCTGGCATCGTGGTCCCTTCTCATACAGTCAGGCACGGTAGCGTCCACAAAAGCACCGTCGCAGTACAAGCAGGACAATCAAGAAGACCGTTACGCCGGGCGCTGAGCCCAGATAGCAGAAGGATACGCGTATCGAACACATTTCTCCATCATTCTAAGTCTTACGGGCAAATGTAAAGGTAAACCATGTAATGTGTGAAATATGACTAATAGATGCATCGAATTACCGGGGTTGGGGGCATATATATGTATCAACATCAAAATATTGAGATATGCAATCCCGCAACTCTAGAAAACTCCACATCTGCCGACCTTTTATACCGAAAATGATCAGGATTCTCTGAAAGTCTTTATTCAGTTTAGTAACAAAACAGATGTATGCTTGAAATTCAAATTGCTTCTAACCTCAGATTCCGCATTTAACCAATTGTCGATTTTGCGTCTCCGTCCCGATTGTGTCTTTTTAAAAATTTTACCAGGACTTGTCTAATGAATTTTATATACATATATTTTTTATGTTTTTTTTTAGTCTTAAGTTATTTATACATGAGCTCATGCTCAAGCACAAGTTTCTGCGAAACTTTTTTGGGTCCATTCGTTTATTGTATAATATTGTCTTTCATCTACTACTGCTATACTTTTTCTTTTGCAATAAACTTTATTATTATTATTTATTATTATTTGGCATGGTAGCCGGTAATATTGTCAGCATGCCCTTAAATCATTTTTGTGGATGGATTTAAGTGTAGCATGTTAAGGCTTCCCGTCGCATCCAAAATACTACACCCGTCACTGCTAAACCCCAGCCCTAAGGCCTTATAAACCAACCTAAACTTCCAAATCTTTACGTTCTCACATTTCCCACACTTATGCATCGGAAATGAAAAGCGTTTCCACTCCACGTAGCGAGAGAAGGCATATTACGATAAGAGGTATAAAACGTGTCTCGTAACAATTTTTATTGTTTGCACGAGGACAATGGATCTGTGACGAAAGCATAGAAAACAGTGGAACTGAATTTCTTCGAAGGAAAACGACATCTCAGGGATCAAGTATCTGGTTTTTTTTTCATAGAGGGCGAAAATAAAATTGGCAAAACAATCGCCCATGCTACAGAAAACGGTTTTCGGCAGGCCCCTGTAACACTAGGGGGTAACTACTGTGTAGTTGACTTCAATTATCTAAAAAGTAGCTGGATGCGAAACATAAGACTTAGGCACATTTTGCCGTATAAAATAGCATCATTAAACTTACAAACTGCTCTTATCTCTACAGGGTATCTATGTTTGAAGTAGAAATACGGGAACAACTAAGGCAAACCTCACACAGTCGGTATTTAATGTAAATCGTCAGTACTTGCCACGGAATGTGACACTTATTGAGCGTGTATCCAGGACAGCAGTGATGGAGAAGTTAAATGATATCCAGAATTCAATAAGAAGTAACAAAGCAACAAAATATGAAGATGAAGAACAATCAAGCAGTAAAAATATTCATTAAAATCGGCCAATAAATGGTAGAGAAGTCAATAAATAAAGTTGCTGCCACCAGACCGTGCCAAATTGGGTATAATAAATTCTTCTGACCAGTACAGGCAATCAGTTACAGTAAATCAAACCTAAAATTCTTACAAAACAGAATTTATCACCAATAGGTCAGAAACAAGCTTAATATATCGCTGGAATGTTCTCATGTCCCCAGATAGTAGATACATTTTTGTAGCACTAGGGTCATATACCTACAAGTAGATCTGGAACCACCGGTAAAAGAATTGAGAATGCAAGAAGCACACGGTACTCGGCTACCTGAGCACAAGTACAACGCCCAAGCACCATGAGATAAGAAGCAGATCTTAGAGAAATTGATACTCTGCCTATAGAATTGTTTTTTCATTCTCTTCGGCATCATGCTTGGTTCTTTAACCACAGCGGCTCATTTAGCACCTTAGTTCCATTTGCTCAAATTTCTTATTTGTATTTGAAAAAAAATAACTACGGATGCATGTTTTACATACGAATAATTCATGGAGGTACTGCGACAGCAACTCCCGTTTGTGTCCTGTCCTAATCTGTGGATGGTCACTACTTCCTAGTTTATAGTTTATGGGTATGGATATTGTGTTGCAAAATAAATGTAATGTGATGCCATTTCCTTACACAAAGGAAACTAAGTAAGCCAAACATTTCATACGGGATTGAAACTAATCCCACGGCAGTCTATTATAACATGATCTTAACACCGAAACTGTCTCTGACTTCAAGTTCCGATTCCTCATTTTGTAGTCGTCTTGAACTTCTGCTTTACTCTGGTCGCGTGCAGCGATGAGCACGTTTCCTAAATCTATATTACGCAACGCGATGACTGGAAGCGCATCCGAAATGTTAATAATGCACGGAATTATTAACACACCAACGAACAAACTGCCATTACAACAAAATACTCCTATAGGTACAGTAGAGTTTTAGGGCATACAGAAGAGCAATTACGACAACTATTCGGGCAGGTCATGCTGAAATGGCGCCATATAATTATTAATTATTAATTATTCTGCAACAGAGCTTGTGCAGCTTACTCCGGAAACTACCAAACAGAACGGCAAATAGTTTAAACCCAAAGGTAAAAGAACACCATACTAGCAAAGTAGTGCTATAAGCTTTTGGTAAAAGAACCGTTTATCCATAAAAGCTCTCTATTGTTGGTGCCTGAACACCAAAATGCTGGCTTAATGTTGTGTGGAATGCAAATTTGCTTTCTGCAATATATTTGCTCTAAAATGAGGTGTTTAAAAACTTCTTATAGCATAGTATACAACACCTTATAGGACAAATTTTTAACTGTTGCATAAACGTTTATAATACTATTTTATACGGCATAATTGCACGTTAGTCAAAATGGTTGTGTTGTGACATCCATGGTAACGTTTGTAAAACAAACCCGAGCCTTGTTGTTTTGCTGTGCAAATTTACTACTTTAGCCAACAAATTATCCCCAACGGAAGCACTTATACAACTGTTGTTTAGTAACTGTTAAATGCTAAATATGTTGGTATACAACTTCACCATAACCTAACTTTCTGCTGTCAAATTTTTGTTAAAATGCCATAACCAGTGTTTTAAGACCAACAACGCATGCATATTGGTTCAGAAGGTTTTATCAACTGTTCAAACAGAAGATATAGATCTGGTATAAATTCTGGGTAAATCATTCGACTCTGTCGATATTTCATTTGTCAAATTGTTGTATAACACCTGCAGGCAACACCAAATATTCTAATAAACTAAAGACAACATGGACGATGCCATGATTATACACAACCACCCGCCATATTGGGCAAACACTTATTCCTCTATTTAATATTAAATAATTATGTCTCACTTCGAAATTACAGATATAAACTGATACGCATCAGTGTAATTGTGTGCAAATATAGGATTTGTGCAAGATTTAACGCAGATAAGTACAGTTTTCCATCTTAAAAATCTAAACATACTTTTGATCATTATTAAAATATATAAGCACGTAGAAAATGCGTAAATACTTTGCACGATAATCACAATAAAAGTTGCTGCGCAAGTAATTCAATAGCCCTATATCACAGTGTAGAAGTTTATCATATACCTGTGTATCAAATTCACAATGGCCGACATGTAAGTAAACAAGATGACTGTAATGTGTTAGTTATATATTCTTCACTTCGTCTATACAATACATAAGAAATAGTTTGGTTGCAATAAAGTAGAATCACGTAACAGAATAGTTGTATAGTTGACAAAAACTGAATCTTGCACTGACGCAAATGTCCTATAGCGGCTGCAAGACGCTTACACTTTTGTTGTATATCTGTTACCTGCAGCCCTTATACAACCTCTTAAATGACTGAAGTGTCCTATTAGGTGAGCCCATTTCGCTTGTATAGCTGTTCTAAGAGGGTTTTGCCAATGTTCTTACAGTATACAATGCTGTGTAAGGAATACTGTATAATCATTCTTGCAACTCTAAGCCCGCTTTTATGCACGCGTTTTTTGTCGCCTGTCGCGTGGCGACAAAAAACGCGGCGTTTATAGATGAAACAAAATGGAACTTTTGTCTAACGTTGTTTGTGGCGTGTCGCTTTCAGATAGATCAGTGGCCATCGTATCGTCTAAACAAGGAAGTGTGGTGCATTGATAAATAATGGATCCGTGTGTTGTATACTTGGCATACAAATATATAATCAAAAAGAGACGCAAGAGACGTTGGAGCATTCACCCAATAAATAGTGCAAGAAATCTCAGAGGCACATATTATACACTACACAAAGAACTAAGACGAGACAATGACAAATTCTTTAATTATTACCGTATGTCGATAGCTTCCTTTGATGAGCTATGTGAAAAGTTAAAAAACACTTTCAATAAAGATAGGGAGCTGATTCAAGGATTTGCATTCGAAGCAGAAGAAATGTTATCAATGACGTTGAGGTAAGTTTATGAGAAAGTTGAAGAAATAAATCATTTATTCAGGAAATAAGAGTAAAACATCAAACACTATAACAAAACAGTTCATACATATTATTGATTTGATAACAGTGATATTAGTGATTCGGCTTGTGAAATTATTGAATTTTCCGATTCCGTCGGAGAAAATGGCGTTTGTGGTGACGTCACAGCAAGTGATTCAGTAGTATCAGTATTAGGATGAGGCAAATGAGGTGTGATCTCAGATGATACTGTAGAATATGATGCGAATGGAGGTGCTGGCGTATTAAAACGTATATTAGAGATGTTGGTCATTACTGGATATTGCTGTGGTTGGTAATGGGGTATATGATTTGGAAAATTGTGTATATACTGATTTGGTTGTTTGTTAGTATATCGGCTTAATAATTGCATGACCTCTATTCGAAAATTCAATTTCTCATTCGGAGTGAGCGTATCTAAACTTGCTTGTAATGATCTAAAAAAGGCCATGTCATCAGTTTCTTGTGGTTGACTTTGTATAGCTAATGCTGGCTGTCTGTTATGGGAATCAATATAGCTTGCAAGTTTACTTTCTAAATCTGATTTCTTTCTTCTATAGAGAGTACTTCTACTAGGAGTTCGTCCAGTTTCCATTTGGCTGTCGAACTGAGTATGTTGGACATCTGATGAAGTACTTTGCATGTCATTTATGTCCTTTGAAATATCCATATCTTCTTGGCCCTCTCTTGATGTACTTGGTAGTGAGCTCTCTGTCTGACGGGAACCAGTCACCTTTCGTTAAAATCCTAATTGTTTAGCATAGATGTACGTTTTTACAGCTTTAGCAGACGCTCCTGATTTTTTTCCCTTAGACTGTCGAATGGTACGAACATAAGCATCCCTCAGACTTTTCCATTTAAGTTGAACTTCTCTACCTAAAAAGGAAAAACAGATAACATGTTAGATACCTAAATGTAAATTTTTTTTAAAAAAATGTGTTTCTCATACGAGCCTTGACATCTATGTATATGTCGTACATCCCAATAATATAAAGTAAAGGTTTTAGATGCACTACAAATAATGAGAGACCTAAAATTTGTTGACAATTATTCGTATTCTTTGCATTTAACTAAGCCGAAACCCCGAAACATAGGAAATTGGCCATGATATTACTATTATAAGTAACTGTATCGTTATACTAAATGGCAGTTTTGTTTTACAGGTATTTAGGTTCAGGATGTACCTATACAGAGCTGCACTACAGCTACAGATTAGGGGTCACAACGGCAAGTCTTCTAATTCCAAGAGTTTGAGTTGCCCTATGGCGTACATTACAGGAAGAGTGCTTTCCTGTACCTACTGAACAACGTTGGCGCCAAATTGCCCAAGATTTTGCAGAACGTACCAATTTTCCTAACTGCATTGGCTCTATTGATGGTAAACATTGCAGGATAATCGCGCCTGCACATAGCGGATCACTGAATTATAATTACAAGAACTTTTTTCCATTGTTCTATTAGCTATTGCCGACAGCAACTGTTGTTTTATATACATCGATGTCGGGTCCTATGGTAAGGAATCGGACTCCATGGTGTTTAGACAATGCTCCTTGTTTAGAAAATTGGAAGAAGATACCTTACATATCCCAAAACCTGAGAAAGTAGCAGAAACAACACTGCCATATGTACTCGTTGGGGATGAGGCGTTTGGACTAACAAATAACTTAATGCGACCTTATCCTGCAAAGAACTTAACAGAAAAAAGAAGAAATTTTAATTATCGCTTGTCTAGAGCAAGAGGGAAAGTAGAATGCTCCTTTGGAATTTTAACTAACAAATGGCGTATACTGCATCGACCGATGAATGTGATGGAGGAAGTCGCTGTATCCATCATCAAAGCTTGCTGTATATTACACAATTTTGTTCGTGTGAGGGATGGCATCAGATTTGAGGATACTTTGACAATAACAGGGCTGCATGATAATGATAGAGCAGAACCAGAAGGACGTGGACGTAAGTCTGCTTACAAATACAGAGATGCTTTCGCTGACTATTTTAGCAGTCCAGCAGGGGCTGTGCCATGGCAAAACACCAACATATGATTTAAACAAAATAGTAAGTGTATGTATTAAAGTAATTAACATGAAATGCTTACCAATTTCCTGCCTTTCTTTTTCATCTTTTTCCCCAAATTTTTGGATAACAATTTCGCACACTTCATTCCAATCGTCTCTTTTAAGCTGTCTGTTTTTGTAGTCTCCTGACGATGAATCCCACAAAGATGGTCGTTTTTCTATTGCGTCGATGAATAGTTCGACATCCAGATGTTCCATTGTAGCACACGTCTTCAGTCTTTAGACAACACCCACCAACTGAGAATGAGTTCCTATCATAGCATCAGCGACAATAAACGCGTTGAATAAAAGCGTAAATTCCATTTAACGTACTTACAAAACTCCTGTCGCCACGCGTTCTCAAATTCCAGGCGACCAAATTTGAGAACGCCGCGACACGGGCATCGAGCGGCTCACCGTCGTTGATGCATAAATGGCTACATACAAGACAATGCGTTGAGAAAACGACGCGTTTTTTGTCGCCACGCGACAGGCGACAAAAAACGCGTGCATAAAAGCGGGCTAATAGGAGTGTTAGTTGGGCATCGCAGCTATGTGTGAGTATGCGGCTTAACATGGTGTCCCAGTCTTGCGGCCGAGGTGCTGGTGACATTTTTCTTGCGTCAGTATTAAGACAAGGACTTTCATCTTGTAGATTATAGGTGTTTGATAGTATAATTTGTATACAAGCTCTGGAGAGGTTATTACCAGTTTCACTTTAATTTAAAAAGCATCGTCATAGTGACATTGACTCTGTTTGGCTACCCAAATTGCAAAAAAGCCTGTCTCCTAATTATTACTCAAGTAGGTCCAGGTAATGCGCTGAAATTTGTCGAGATGAAAACTAATGCACGAAAATGATATGTTGACGTACAACTGCAAAACGAGGGTTGGGCGCCATCTTGAAGCACTTTTTCTTAGGGTATGAGGCTCTTGTGAACTTGAGGGTACTTATTAGTACTTTGTAACCTCAGAGTAACAATTTTTCAGGGAGGAATCTGTCTGAATATTTAATGAATTATAAAAAACATGTTATAATAAAATTGTCGAAATGTGTCATTCTCTTAAACGGAATGTTTCATTTTTTTATAGGTTCAGGCAGGCCTTTCCAGAAAAAGAAGATTGACATATCATGCTAGGGTTCTGATGAGTAGTTGTTGAGCAATAAGCGATCCAGTATATAAAAATGCTGCCAATCCTCCATTCTGAAAGATTGTATCCCTTAAAACCGTTTTTCGGTCCACAAAACTGTTGCTTGCATGCTCTTGCAGCTGCAACACGACATTGTTTTGTCTGCAAGGTAAATGCATCCTATAACTTGCAGTTGCAAGACTGCCCTGTTTCCTCGATTCAAACGAATGAAATATTCCCTGTCATATTCCTAACCTGTAATTTGATGATTTTAATACCCAAAAACTAGTTTCCATCGCCAACCATCCAACATGAAGTGGCAATCAAACGTATGTCTGAAAACAATTAAATATATTCACACAAACCACCGGACTGGCCTTGGGACATTTGCAGACATTGGTAACTTGTAAGTTACTAACTGTTATACCAGAATTGCGGTGAAGCTTGCATACAAAATAGAACTGATTCATTTTCAAGGAAGGCCCTGGAAATTGCAAGAAAATTACAGAAACAGGCAGTTGTTTTGCTAGTGTGGATGCATCTGATCAACATTTTTCTTGCTTTTGCTGGCGATGAAATGGGTATTAGGACTTCGAAGAGAACAAGAACCTCCAAAATAAGGTATCAAAATAACTATGGAGGATCAGACGTCGAAGCATGAATATAAAACCAGTAGTATGTTCTTGAAGATATCTATCCTGTGTGGCTTTATTTTGTTTCGTTTTCTTTTCTCTTTATTGGGGAAATATGGATTCTTTGGTTACTGCATTCACACTTGGATAAAGTAAACAGAGACTTAGGGCTAATCAGGTGCAAGATAAAGAACTTAATTCTTGTACGAAAGTGTTGCGTGTTTGACCAATTGCAGTCAATTAGCGGTGATGTTTTATTCATTTGCAAACTTTTTGAAGCTAATCTTCCCTAACTGTCCCGCTAATTGCTAATACATGTGGAAATTTCAACCTTCGGCCTTCTGTCCCGCTAATTGCTAATACATGTGGAAATTTCAACCTTCGGCCTTCTGTACCCATTTTTTTGAGCTTTTGAATTATGGGAAATAAATTACACAATTTTTTGCACGTATCTGTATTCCAGCAGCAACCATACAATTTTGATCCGTAATTTTAATTAATGCATTCCAAACCCAACACGAATAGTGCATCATCATTTCAATTAGCTCTGTACACATTGCAACAAAATAGAGCTTTAATGGATGTATAGCGTGTCACATGAGACGTGCTGTAATTTTAATAGCAATGTTGATAATTATTGGACAGGTTTTATTTCTCTATAAAAATTAACACGAATGTGCAAAACCTATCTGGAGACCAATACTTTTATATGAACTATACCCTTTAATGTATCTCTGAGAGAAAAGTCCCTAATGTTGATAAATAGCAAGAAAACTGTTTGAGTGTCTCTAATGATATGTAAAACCTAGAAGAATTCAATTCAGAGCGTCTTTAAAAGCAATAGAGCCAGGCTCATTTTCTACTAGCTACTTATGTCGCCTATTCCAAGAGTTCTGCATGTGGAAAATCGAGGGTTCCAAAATTCGAATAAGAATTTGAAAACCACAGAGAAACCACGTCACCATGCGGGGAAGCAATCTGAGCTATAACATAGATAGTGCAACAAACTATAAGAAAATAATAAGTGAAAGTCTTGGTTTCGCTTGGTCCGAAGAACCAACACCCAGGGCTAGCGTATTTTACATCTAAACCATGACTCGGCTGCATCGAAAAAGTACATAGACATACTGGTTCAACTTTTTACAATCGGCAATCAGTTGTAGAGGAGCCCACGTTCTAATTTGGCCAGCAGGAAACAAAACGTGCTTTTTCAATAAAATGTTTGGCCGGTTGTCATACGAATGGGTTGATTGAATGGTCTTGGTGTAAAACTAGAAAACGCAAATAAGTGACTTCAGGTAAAATTAATTTTTGTTGTTAGAGAATTTATAATTGGTATTCTAGTAAAGGTAGGTCGATACCAAAAAAAGCAACTCAAGCATATCGGTCGGAATGCCTCAGTTAGTTTGTGATATGTATCTTCTTTACCCGGGGGTATGAGCAAGGTAGATAACTTGCATCTTTCTTTCCTACCCATGTTCTCGGTGGCTACAACTAACTGAGCATTATTGTTTAGTTTATCAATAAAGAAACATATAATTGCCCTCTTTAATCTTATATCAATTAACCGTCCAGTAATAAGGAAGCAAAAGGCGTTCACTTTGCCCGGTAAATCGGGATTTACCGCTACCCTACCAAATTGGTCACCATATTGAAGAATTGATAAGGCAGCCGCACCGTTTCTCAAGACATATAGAAAGCATGTCTGGTAAAATTTGAATGTTTGAAAAATCTGAAAATTAGTGTTGACTTTAATGAGCTGGAAGCTTTTGAATATACAGAAGGGCAAATTACCAAGAGCAATATCAAAATCCTGGCACCTAATTGTGTGCTGAATTAAAAAAACTTTTGGCTTACTAGGTTAGAGACTCAATTGCCGTACCTGCTTAGTTCTATTTTTATTTTTTGTTCCTCCCCTAACCTGTATATCCAATTCCAGAACGGGTGAATGTAATCCAGTATATCTGAGAGAAATGAGAAACATTTATCTCAGTAAAGCAATTCAAATTATCCTCCAAAAATCAGCGTAATACGAGGGCAATCGACTGGAAAGGTTCCATTGTAGAAAATTGAATATACGACTGGGGTGTTTATTTTTTAATTGGGTTTCGTTTAATTAACCGGGTACATCATCTGTTAGATCTAGAGACGATCCAGTAAAAGTTCATCGAGGTATCACTTTCTGGGAAGATTGTATAACATAAAAATGACGTCACGTAGATTTTGTTGTTCATGCTCATTACCAGTTCTAACGCTGTGAATAACTCATTATTCATTTAAAAAGAATGGTAAAAGCAGTTGTGTGCCTGTGTCAAGCATGACTAGGTATGATCGAATAACTACGATATACAGGCTGACTTGTAATGTCACGTATTTCTGTTAAGGGGTGATAGATTAGGTCATAAACAACCGATTTTGTCCTATCATGTCTTATCCAAAAGTTAACCATTTTTGGGTTATTTGAATTTTAAGTTTTTTATTTTTTATTCCGATTTCAGACGGTTAAAATTGAAATACAAAAAAACTGCATGCTTGATTTTGAGTTTTTTGTTATCGCCGCATAGCAGACATTGCAATAGTTCATAATGAGTAATAAAATGTTGAAAAGCTACAAACGTTTTAAAATTACGCTTTTTAAATGTATCATTTTCTTTTTTTTTACTAACTTATTCGATAAAAAATGCATTTTTCTGTAAAAAATCTCCTAGTAATGAAATGAGCAAATTATGTAAATAATATCTCTATCTAACAAGCTTTCATTTGAGGTATTAGGCGTTCAATTATCTGTACATGCAGAGAAACAACAATGACACCCACAGAGGCTAGATTTTTAAGGAATTTGTATTACCTGTTTGAACAAGTCGTTACTGTCCTCAAAGGACTCGCATGCCATGATTGTTTTATGGCATCGGTTTGACGAGGAAGCGAACGAGAAGAGCTGGCTTATTGGAGGAGTGAGAGAGAGAGAGAGCTGTTATTATTCATCATTGTAGTTACGCCATCGCCGCACGCCGAGTGAGAATTAGGTTTAGTTGATATCAACTACTGCGTACGCGCACACGTTTTACGCACGATTATTATTTTCGAGTTTCCCCAGTTCATTTTGAGTGATTTCTTTATCATCATGGCAGACGCAGAAGATCCGCCAGTACCTCGCCATAGCGAGCACGGGCAAACTTTTACAAATGAAGAATACGCAGACATAATGTACTGTTATGGACTTTGTAACGGCGATTCTGCAGCTGCCTGCCGTGAATATCGGCAACGTTTCCCGAATCGCCGAACATCTCATGTTTGACTCTGTGTATCGGCGTATCCGCCAAACCGGACGTGTTCAAAGGCAAAATAGTGATGCTGGTCGACCCCGAGTCTATCCTCCTGAAGATGAAGAGGAAATCCGTGTGTTTCAGGAAGATCGTACTACGTCTACACGCATTGTGGGTGCTCAGTTGGGTATATGACAATACAAAGTATGGTTTACTGTGCATACTGCAAGACTATACCCTTATCACTACACGCCTGTGCATGTGATTGAAGAGGGCGATCCTGCAAGACGATTAGATTTCTGCAGGTACATGTTACATGTAGATTCAGAAGATCCAAACTATTTTAAGAAAATTCTGTGGATCGATGAATCGAAGTAACTACTACTACCTACTACCAACTACCATAATGCTCATTACTGGGCTGATAAAGAAGCTTTAAACCCCCGACAAATAAAACCGATGGGGTTTACATAATTTGCACATTTCATTACTAAGAGATTTTTTACAG